AATGGTCCTGCACACCCTTCACTTGTGGCTTTTATACAGACAGGGGACTGCTTGTCAGAGCAAATGATAAGAGCTAAGAACACAGCAAGACTCCAAGAAGAAACCCTGCTTTAAGGCTGAGGGGTGTTTCTTGTTATTAGGGGTGAAGATGAGATCTTCCTGCATGTGAGACTGTCCTATGGGGATCAAATTATTTCAGCTTGTCTGGTGATGCCCTTTGCACCTTTATTGTGAGCTTTGCTTCCACTGGGCAGACTCAGCTCACAAGAGGAACCTCAGTCTATTCTGTTGGAGTGAGTTTTGCCTAGTGCTGTAGCCAGGTAGCTATGTAAAAGCCCTGGCAGGAGGACTCCCTGCTGCTTTGATTAAGGACCACGCTGGGTCTTCAGCTCAGCGTAGGCTAGATTGCCATAAAGAGAGTCTTTAAAGAGACTCAGACCTTATTTTAAGATGGGAAGAGCTGTGAGCATAAGGACAAAATCATACAACACTGCTTTCTCTTTAAACAGCTAAAAATGCTCTGTGGTTGTAGAACAACCGACTCCCATGTGTTTAGGAGCTATGTTGTTTTATCTTCAAATTCAACAGGGAAGGAAAAAATAGTGGATCATTTTTGCTTGGTTTCAGAATGCAATGATTTACCTTTGGTCCATCTCAGAGTTTCAAGCTGGCAATAAATTGCAGCAATTCACTCTGGATTGCTTATAGGTGGCCTTTTCATGCACTCTTTTTTTTTCTGTTTCAATTGAATACCGTTCAGGTTAATTGAGATGCAGTCCCTAACAAGCAAACCTTTGCTGAGGACACCATCATATAGACACAGTTGTAATAGCAGAAAATAATCATACCTCTCTGAGACGAGAACTCACCTTCCAGCTTTCTTAAACACAGAACACAGCTACATTATTAATGTGGTTAGACTGTTGTAAATGCTGTTTATGCTGACAGTGTACCCTGCAAAAATCAGTGAAGATTACAACCTCCTCGTCACAAACACAAATTTGCTGAAATTCAGTCTGATGAAAAGATGAAGAATGCAAGTTTCAGACGCCACATAACTGATGACTGCCAAAGTTACAGACAGTACAGGCACATAGAATTTATTCTATAGGATGTGCTGGGAAACTTTTATATGCACTTGGTGTATCACAACAATAAACCACAAACAGTGGCCACTGGCAGCAGCATGCAGGACTCGTAAATTAAAAATGGCTGGCATACCCCTCTACTTAAATCAAGGGGAGTGCTCATGAAATGAATTACTTTTCATGCTGAGCATGACTGGCAGAGCGTGTGATTGGGTCTGTGTGGTGTAGCATGGGAAGCTCTGTACACATTTCATCAGGGTGATTTCTCTTTCGTCATTAAATTTGTCATGCAGAGACTGGCCAAGCAGTGCCTGGCTTAAACTCCAATACAGAGAGGGTAGAGAAGGGTGAATGAATGGAACTAAGACCCCACAATGAGACTGTTGATCTGATTTAAATGCAGTGTTTGTGTCACTGAGGCAGAGACCCCAAGTAACCCACCAAATATCATCCAAAGCCCTCTTCCCATGTGAGATCTGTTACCTGAGACTGCAGGATTACCCCTTTGCTCCTCTAAGGGTGGGGATGTAAGGATGAAGGTGCTCCAAGATATTGGCATCTCAGGGACTGGAGGGAGGATTTGCACCAGTCCCTTGGTCCTTCCTCCCCACTCCTGCACTCACTGATGGGACAGAAGCCCCTTTCTCACCTTGTGCCTCTCTGGAGACCACACTCTCCTCTCCCAGCCATCTGGGAGCACAGAAATCCACGTTCCCTACCAGGATCCCATTTTTAAGACTTCTCAAAGAAGACAGGCTGCCTCTCCTCATTCAAGCTGTGTGTCTCAGACCTTTCTTCTGTGGCAAAATGCCTGCAAGGCTGGCTGCAGGTCAAGCCTTTCTGCCACTGAGTTTTGGAACAAGCTACTGCTACCTTCTTGCTGCAGCATCCCTTCATATGTCTGAAGAGGGATGTCATGTTCCCTCTTCATCATCCTCTTTCTGAGTCTAAGGTTGATGAAAGACAGGGAAAACCAGCCATAGGAAAAGAAAAAAAGATTGAGTCATTTATCCTAAGGGAGATAAACTGTCACCTGATACAGGATGTTGTCCTCTGGCTGAGCTTTGCCAGTGCTGCACCAGCTGAGAAGATCATGTCCCAGGTCCTACAGGAAAAAACAGGAGCAGAGAATAAATGGAGAAAGGAAGCAGGATGGAGAGAGTAGGAAGGAAACGCTAGGTCTGAGATGGAGAGTGAGTTATATGTCCAGGAGAGGTTTGAAATTCGGGGTGGTGTGGAGGACGTTGTAGGAGCTCATGCTGACCTGTGCCTTGGTGACAGCAGCAGGGGCAGCTGGTGTTCTCATCACAGGCACTGCAGGCAGCACCACTGTAATGCTGTGCCTGCCCCACACCAAACCTGCCACAGAAAAATCAGCTCTGCACCTCAGTTTCTGCATGCACGTGGGGCACTGAAAAATGTGAGGGACAGTGACCGTCTCCAACGCAGCCCAGTGCAAGCAACAGCAGCTAAATCACACTGCTACAAAAGAAGCCCAAGAAAGAATTACTTCTTTGAAGTATAATTATCTTTGTGACTTTCTCTTGCTTCAGAGAACAGTAATTTGCTCCTGGCTTATTCCTGCAACAATCGAGTGTAGTGCAGCCAGATATTAGTTTTATCTGTGGACCAGCTTTAAAAGTTTTCTTGTCTTTTCCCCTTACTACCCACAGTCACCTTGCTGGCTGGTCCCTCAGCTGTGCTGGACAACTTCTTGCAGGCTGTGTTCAGTGTTTTCTGAATTAAAATTGGAAGGGATTTACTGTAAACTGAGCTGTTTTGGTTATCCAGCTTTCAGCACAGCCCACAAACTGCTTGATCTAGCTCAGCTGAAACAGGAACTGGGGACACAAACAGACAGGCAGAGGAGAGTGGCAAGGAGGGGAGAGCAGCATCTTCAGCTGGATTTGCTTCCAAGGTGGGTATCCTATGACAATAGGGCCTTGGTGAACTCTTTTGTATAGGTTTATGTAAAGTGAGTGCTGTTTATGAGGGAATGATGCGAAAGATGCTGATAAAGAGTCCGTTCACAAATAACTGTGCTGGGTGGAGGCTGAGCTTCACTGAGCTTTGGAAACTGCCCTTCTGCTAAAGCATACGAGGCAGTGGGGTGCGGCGCTGCCCTCAGAAGGACCCATGCAAAGATTGCTTCTCTGCTCCAAGCAAACCCAGCTGAGGATCACTAGCTCTCTACTGCCGAGGGTATTCCTGCTCCCAATGCAATGTGTTTATTGCTTCAAATAAGTTACAGCATATGTTCTACCTACTGCTGCATGCATTTAGTCCATATTAATGTTGGCAGAAGAACTGAATTGATCATATGTACAATTTAATCTTATGTTAGGAAAAGAAAAATGAATTAAGCGTTAGGAATCTGATATTGAGATGCCAAGACAGGAAAGCCTGTCACAGTTTCCTTGACAAGTCTGTCATAAAGTCCATGTATATTCTTTCTATTAGCACTCAATTACAGTGTATTTATGTAGTTCAGACATCTGCTCACAAAGTGTCATGTCAAGGGCCTTACAGAGGCTAACCACAGAGCAGAAACGAAAAAAATAAATGAAAAGATAAAAAGAAAAGTAATAGTGAAGCTGAATAATTGGATTTCCAAAGAATATAAGCCAGTATTTTTAGAGTTCAGAACAAAGAGGTATATAATACGCATACTGTCTAATGTAATATGTGTAATGCCTTCTGCATCTCTCATAGGAAAAAAGACTCAGTATACACATTATTCTATGGTACATAAGATCTCTTCATTTTTATTGCAGAAGGATGTGTATTACAGTGAATTTTAATTCTCTTGTTGCTTCATTCTTTCATTGAATTTTAGCACTAAGTCTGCTGAGACATACGGGGCATTGTTCCTAGCCAGGTGCATCACATATTGTGTGAGCAGTAATCTCATCTGGTGTTATGTGTTTTCACCATAAATCAAGCTAAACCAGCTTAGAAGAATTGCAGATTATGTTTGGAGACTAGTTAGGACCTGCTACTACATGTATAAGGTAACAAAAACCCTTTAAGGACTGTAAGTAAGCGCTGAAGTGACTTAAGACTGCAGGTTTAAACTTGCCTTGGATATATTGAGAGATTTACTTACTTGAAGAGCATGGATGCAACCAATGATGGAATACAACGATGGCCTGTTACTGTCTGTAACCTAAAGATCCACCTTTCCTTTAGCAATCACCAGAAGGAGACACTTAGAAATAGCTGAAGGTGAGTGCAAATACTGAGTGATCCTTCCTTTCATGTGTATTTTGTTTATTCTATAAAGCAGCCTTATAATTTTTCTTGGTGAAATTTAGCACTTGTGATGCGATTAGTTATATGATTAATTATGAATGGTCATTCTCATCTTACTGTCTCTGCTACATCCCCAATGCTAAAAAGCCTAACTATGTAACCCTTCAGGTTTCTCTTTTTCAGTCTAAGGGACTATGGGGTATTTGATATCTCCTGAGATCAAAATCACTCCTACTTCTCAGAATAGATGGCATTTCCCCCCCCCCTTTCTTCAGTTCTCTGAGGTTTATACTCTACTGATTTTGACGTAGGTGTAGACACAGTCCCAGATATGGATGTACAACGGTTACATTATGAACTTTCCTGCTTTATTCTTTATTATTTTTCAAACAATTGGTAACTTTCTGCTTGCATGTTAACCATCAGAGAACTGTACAAAGTGACTCCAACATCTCCTTGAGGCAATAGCTAATTTAGAACCCACAATGGTATATGCATGTATTCCCATGTGCTTTTTCTTATATCTATCAGCACTGAATTTCATCTGCCTTTTATAGCACAGCCAGTACCTTGGGAATTAATGAATTCCTTGCACTTAGCTTGAGTTTCAAATATTATTGTTTATTCATTCGATCAGTAAACATTTCCATTTTCTTACCTTCCAGGTAAAGAGTACCCACACAATCCATTCTAATCTCTCAGCTGTACTGAGGTGGAAAAATAATATTTGGGGTAACTTTCACCTGAATCTCTCCTGCAAGATGCCTGAGAACATTTTTGGCTTGAAGCTTCTATCTCAGTATATTGCTCCTGCAACAATGATTGAGAGGTAGGTTCCCAAATAGTTTGGTATTCTCCAGCAGTTCACTTGCTGTGTGTTCATCTTTGATGTACACAAGATAGTAATGTTTCTTTTCTACTTTAATTATATCTTGTCTTATTATTATATCTAATGCTTTCTGCCAGGGTCTTGATCATCATTGATTTAATGGCAGCTGGATTAGAAAGACTATGGAAATAGTCAGGCTGGAAATCTTTCATAGATTTACGGGTATAACAGGCTCCATGCCATGATTAGAGCCTGCATAAGAAGATCTTGTAAATCACATGTTTGTATTTAAAGTGAGCTAGAACTGAACTGAGCTGCTTCTGTAACAATTACTTTTATACTCTTTTCCTTCTTTTAAGAGCTGTTAACTCTTATTTATTCCTCTTTGGTAGCACCTAGAGTTTTAACAGTTAGCATGAGACACTGACTTAAAAGTGAAGTGGGTAACATAGAATTGTAAAATACCAGTTTGGAAGGGACCTCCAGGATCATCTGGTCCAACCTTTCTGGGCAAAACATGACCTAGACTAGACGGCCCAGCACCCTGTCCAGCCAAATCTTACAAGTGTCCAATGGTGGACAATCCACCACTTCCCTGGGATTATTCCAATGGCTGATTGTTCTCACTGTGAAAAATTTTGCTCTTGCGTCCATCTGAAATCTCCCCAGGAGTAACTTGTGCCCATCACCCCTTGTCTTTCCCGTGTGACTCCTTGTAAAAAGGGAGCCTCCACCTTCTTTGTAACTACCCTTTAAATACTGGAACATGGTCACAAGGTCTCCCATGAGCCTTCTTTTCTCTAGGCTGAACAAACCCAAGCACAACACCCTGGAAGCTGCAGTACTTTACTAACTCCTCATGTTCAAAATTGCAGTATTCCTTTCAGGGATAATTTGGGACTGGAAACCTGCAGCTGTTCACTGAGCTTTTTTCTAAGCAGGCTGTCAAACAAAAAATTGAAATAGTGCTGCTCTGGACAGAAGTCACATTTTAAAATGTGGTGCAAAGAACCTAGTACTTTGGTTAAAGCAACATTATTATTATTATTATTATTAATAATGATAAAACCAACAATAAAGATATTCATAATCATTATAGACATCTTTGGAAAAATTGCCCAACGTTTATTTGATTCTTTGGAGTCTCCTAAACAGTCCTCAATAAGTCTACTTATTATCTAAGGGGTCTTCAGTATTCACTAGGCCATGTAGCTAACCTCTGTGGCATGTGGTTGACACTCTCTACCACTCCTCTCCGGCAGCAGTATGGATGGAGGTGTTTGGCTTCAGCACATTTTTGTTTACAGGTACTGCAAAACCAAAATATATCTGTTTCAGTATCTGTACACATTACTGGGCATTGCTTGCAGGAAGCTGCTCAGCAGCGTCATCTTTGATGTTGCCAGGAGCAAAAGACAGGGAGATTGCCCCTGGTTCCCATGGAAGAATACTGAGTCTGGAAGACAACCTTGGGCCAGATCCCACAGCCTCACAAGAGGCTTCTTCTCCTACTCTGAAAGGTAGATGATACCCCACACAGAGATGAAGGATTCTTGCCTCTTTCCCATTGCATTAAGAGTAGAGTTGGGAATGGAACTCCCTCAAGTCTCTGCCCTCCACCAGAAAACCACTGCAGGACATTTTCACCATGCTAGCTGAAAAAGAAACATATAAAAATTTTGTATAAACTGATCTGTCCAGTCAATTCTACTGAGAACAGCAGAGAAATTGTCTGGAGCACCCGTTATGAAACAATTGAAAAAGCTGTAACTGGCATATAAGAAATAATTATAGCACTCTTCATTGCAGTCTAGCCAGCCTCAGTGAATTTTTCCAAGTGAAGGGGAAAGAGGCCAGGGGGAGCATCAGCAGGGAAGAATAAAGAGCTGTTTGGGGGGATAATTAAATCTGAACTGAAAAGGTCATGAGATACTTTATCAGTTTTCACACTGAATCCTAACACACCTAGAATGTTATCAATTCCCGGTCATTGTCCTCAAATTAGGAGTAAGCTGTCTGAAATCAAAACCCTGTGGTGCAGAGGAAGCTAAATTTGAATATCTTCTTCAATTTTTGTTCATCTCCATTAATTTGCCACTTGTTAATAACAAGTAAAGAACAATCAATCTAAATAGAGTTCCAGCTACTGGCTCCCATAAAGCAAGAGAGAAGGAGATTAAATCATCATTATGAACCTACAGGGGGAATGTTATACACAGAGGGTAGGAGATGCAGGAAGGAGAAGTTTATTAGAACTCTGTCAGGAAGTAATTTTTATTTTACAGCTTCTCCATTTGATGAAGCTTTGAATGATCCTAGATCCAATTTCCTCTTTGAAACTGGGCAAATGAATTCCAAGAAATATACCATCATCAACATTACCACCATCATCACCATCAAAATAACGAAGAACCATGTTTAAGCCACCTGTAAGTACTTTAAATTTTGCCCATTCTTTTTTAATGGGAAATCATTAGAGGAACCTGTGCGCTGAATAAAAATATTCTGCTTGTGTGTAAAATTTAACTGCATGTCTCCTACTCGCAGGCAGGCAAATGTTTATCAAGCTTTAAGGAATGCATCTTACTGTGACCAGATAAATGCAGGTCTTGTGAAGAGAAACCTAGTTTTTATGTCTCACTGTTTCCAGGCCAGATGATGCTCCTTGACTTTATGGATGGGAGATTGATCTGTTTCTTTGGGCCACTCATATAATAAAGTGCCTTCTCAAACTGGAAACAACCTTTGCTCCACACTTTTCATAGCCAGGGAGGCAATTTTCCACTACAAATAACCAGTGTTTGGTCAGTTTATTGATCAGATACTGTATTTCTTGAAACTCAGAAAGAGTGAGATTTACAGCTCTATTCCTAAGAGCTGCCACAAGATCCATGCATCATTGGTGATTAACTTAATAAAAAAATCATTTTCATCCTACGTATATTTGGTAAAACTTGTCCCTGTCAACTCATCATGCTCTTCCACCCATTAGGTATTCATTTCTCCTGAATGACTTACAGCCTTGTTCTTTGGGTAAAAGGCCAAATCAACAGCTGAAATAAACCAGATTTATTCCACAGAAGCCACCAGAAACACACAACTTTACCTCCGCTGGGGGATAGGGCTCAGTGATGACCTGGATGACAGATGGATTTTCCACTAGATTGTTTGCTTAAATAATTACATCTCTCTTCATTCCAATATGTATCTTATTACTTGGAGCGCAGCAACATCTCACTGCCCCCTAGGATAGTGTTAACATATATCGAATGCTTTGCAGTCCTTATTGTTAAAAAGCACCTTTCTGGGATTTGGTACCAGCAGCAGGGAACAGGCAGGAAAAAAGCATATTAATTTCTGAGTAAGCAGTTTTCAAATTGTATTAGCCAATCTCATCCCTTTCCATCAAGACTCCAATTTGCCTCCAGCTCTGTAAGCACAACTCAGCGCTTAGCATTCCACTCCACAATGTAGTCATAAATTAGGAAAACTCTGAATATGTTGCTGGTGCTTTAAATTCCCTGCAGGCATTCAGTAGAAATCCATGAGCTCTCAAGCCTCCTGACTTCACAACATTTTCTTTCTCATTAAAGAGGGACAAAAAATTCTCAGTCAATCTGCCCACTTTTGGTGACAAAGAGCTAGAACTGGAACTGAGTGTAAGCTCATTGCCCTTCCTTGCCTCTTATGCACGGCTCCTGAATGCTCTGGGACAGCTACAGGTATCAACTTGTCTTCCATAAGAACAGAAAGGTTTTTAAATAGGGCTTTCAACAACTTCATTTCTTACCCAAGAATTTGTTTTCTGTGGTGTTGTAACATACAATGCTTCTGGTGTCATCCATATGTTAAAAAAAATGTCTTTAGTTCAAATGCACTAAGTAATGGAATATCCATACTATTACTAGATCATTCTTTGGTAGGCTGACAGATACTGCAGAGATTACAGACAGGATTGATAAAAGGAACTAGAAATGTCAGCTACCTCCATTTGAGAGTGTGTCCTAAATCAAAAGACAAGAAAAAATATCCATCATCCAGTAGTCTGGACATTCACTAGTGAGTGGGACAAACCTGCTTCACAATATGGGCTTTGCTATGTTATGTAAAGTTGAAAAGCCTAAAAAGAAACAGGTAAAAGGCCCACTGCATAACAATCTCTAAGCAGCTGAAATATTTAGGTATTCACAAAAGAGTAGGATGTGTACTTACACTTCTTTAGATAAAATAGTGACTTAGGTTTGGGAATCCCACATGTTCTCTGAATGCCTATACACTCTGACTTGAAGGAAAGATCCCTTTGCCACCTCTGGTTTAGAAAGAAGGGAGTTAAATGCCTGAAAAGAACAGAAATAAAGTTCATTTACTCTCTGTAGTAAATTGCATTGGTATGTGTAGGCAGCACCCTGGCCAAAGCTCTCACTTCTGTGATGTCCATTCTTACAGACCTAAATTTTCTCTCCTGAAGGGAATCTACAGCCCAAAGCTACCCTGTACCTCAAAGCTAATCTGTGCATTCGAATGATACTAATGGCTCTAATAGAAGTTATTTCTCAGTACAGATTTGGATTCCTTTGTGTCTTTAAACCTCCACAACTTTGGCAGCACCGTTTCTCTTGATTTTCCATCTGTGAGTGCACAACTGGAGAGCTGTAGGCTGCCAGATGTAAAAAAGTTAGGTTTTGGGGGTGCCTTTATATCTACCAGGTTGTATAGGAAAATTAAAGTTGCAAGTCCTGCCACAAACACTAACCCCAAACCTCTTTATGGTCACTAGTTACAACACAAATACAACACAAATGGTAATCCTTTATCTTCACTCCCCCTAAAATGGAGGGGCTACATCAACTAAATATCTGGGACTCTGCTAGCAGTTCAGTATCTCCATGTCAAACATTTGATCATGTTGCTAAAGAAAGTAATCTTTCAATCAAACAGAGGTTTTTCTTGGTGACAGTCCCTATAATGTGATACATTCAGTGTCTAGTCAATTCTGTTGTTGAATTAAAGGAGCTGTGTGGCAACATAAGCATCAGAAAGTCAACTAGTTCCTCACTTCTGCAAAAGGCAGAAGGGTAGATTGCAACAGAGCGTGTGAAATGTCAGTTTGCACCTCTGTCAAAAAAGCTGAATGACTGAAATGTCACAATCTCAGGCAGGAAGAGAGGAAAAGATAAAACTATGAATCTGTGCTCTCAGAGAAAAACATAAACATTTTCAAGGGGACCTTTTCTGTGTGGAAACATAAACCTATTTTTGTAAGGGAGCTGGATCTCCTTGGCCAGGAAGATCATTCTAAATGTCTGTTTCTGCTGTGCTGGGCCAACACAAGTGATCATCCCCAGGTGAGGGACTTTGAGAGACTGTTGTATTAAAAGTAGAAGAACCTTCACAGAGCCAAGAATATTTCCTTTGCACCTAGGCTAAATGTGGCACCTGTCATCAAACTTCACCTCAGGTATACAGGTAAAGTGAATGACACATAGTTATAACTGGATAAGGAAATACCGCTTAAACCCACAAGCTGGGATAATTGTCTTTAACTCCCAGTCCATTGACTGGTGGTAATGTATTGAATGTGGCTTGCACTGATTAGGAAATTATGTTGATTACACCTATCAGAATATTTGATCATATGCATATTCCTTATTTCCAAGCACTGTAAACCCATAGGGGTTTCTCAGACTCTCCCCAGCACTCTTCAACTACAGAAACAACAAAGCACAGATTTTCACTTTCTATAGTTTTTATTTCCTGGTCTGTAAATGAAAGCTAATACTTTGATAATTACAATTATTAACAGACCTACGTATAGGGGGATCAGCCAACAATACCTATTTGATCTATATCAGTCATTACCATGCAACCACACCAGCTGTGGAAGTAGACACAACACAGAATCCAGCCTGGCAGGGGCAGGTACAGATATGGCTGGGAATGGCACAGACAAAAAAAATGATATAGCCTTAAATATGCTGAAAAAAATAACCCAACTGCATCCATTTGCACAAATTTGAGCCAACAGCACGAATCTGTGCTGTATGAACATTTAGTTATATTTGGCCACAGTTTCTCATCCAGCAGAGAGGATCTTATGGAGAGACACACTTCATCACTACATCACAGCCTGAGTGATTCTGTGAGGGTAATGGTGCAAAGTGAAAGAGGTTCAATTAAACCTTCACAGCATCACAGAGTTAATACAGTGTCTTAGCTGACGGAAGGAGAGGAAGCAAGAGAAGGGTGTTCATAAATTGCAGAAGGATAATCATTAGGTGACCGTGCTTTTAAAAGTGAGCACTGGATTATGCATTTAATCTTTTACCATTTAGGGTTTTTTTAATCAATTTTGCCTCTGTTTTCCTAATGTTCGCCAGGTTCTGCAGCTGATGTGTTAAAATATGAAGTGTTTTCCTTATGGTACTTCTTTTCCTTAAGCAGATGTAACTACCAGAAGTGTGACAGTAAGATGGTTTTCCAGTCCTGGTTTGCTGTCTCCAGAAGCTGAGATGGATCAGGTCATTTATCTTCATTCAATGGCTGAAATTTGTTTCTGGCCATATAGTTACACAGAAAGATTTTAATGGCTGCTATCGAGGGTGCTGACCCAAAGACAACACAGATCTCAGTGGAATTGATGGATTTGCCATGCACATCTTTCAGACTCAAGCAATTAAACTCTTTCCTAAAGTGAAATAGGCAGACAAGAATCTGCTCCCCGACACAGTTGACTGCAGGCAGAGCCTGAGGAGACCTGACCACAGCAACTTCCCTGTCTGCAAGCGCATGGGTAAGGATACTGATTTGCAGGGTGTGTGCACCAGAGAAGGAGAGTTACAGTACCATAAGTTGAATGAGAAACAGGAGAGAGTTTCTTAAGCCAAGAACTCCCTGGAAAGACAGGCCTGAGGGTGTGAGCAAGGAAAGTTCATCCTGTTGTTTATTTCTACAAAGGTTTCTTTCAAACGAGGTCATGCCAAGAATTTACATTATTTCCCAAGTCAATTCATCTTCCTCGTTAAAACAAACCTGCAAAATGTGCATGTTGACTAGTGATTCAGGCTACGTTTTGCTCAGGTACAGCAATTTCCATCTTCTGCTTTATGAGAAAATAGGACTTCCAGTATTCCACTCCTATGTGTCTTAGACCATCTGCAAATTTAAATAGCTGTATGTTTCTGTATAAGGAAATCCATGGCCAGCGAAAGATTTGTGATTCAATAAAGAGTAGAAAATCATAAGTTGGAGACACACTGCTGGTGTTTGAAGAGATGATCAGATAAAATGAATGAAAAAGTCTAAATATTTCAAGTGCATTTAAAGCTCAGGCAGAGTTACAGCAATAGCAGACTGCTGCTGGCTGTTCACTGCACTGCTACTACCATGACTGCTGCTACTCAAGTCTTATTCCTACATAAACAGAAATTTGACCCGAGGAAAAAAGGCTACAAATGTACAGCGAATATTTTGAAAGTTGTTTCCTTTGGAATTCAGCTAATTCTGGACAGACAAGTTCCTACAAATACACCTGAAAACATCCCTCAGTTTTCTTGTTGGGTGACCCTGCGCAAGTTATTCAAGGACGACTCACAGGTGTCAAACAAGAATGGAAATGTTTGCAGGACTATACCCTGCGTTTCCAGGCAGACAGATAAGCTGACACCTTTAACTTCAAATCACTCAATTTTTAGCAGATAGCTGTTTTTCTTAAAATGCTGCTCATGTGTGCAGAATTGTGAAGACAAACGTTTACACAGTGCAAGACAAAGAGAAATAAAGGCATTTAACCCAAATATGCATAAGAAAAGATTCTATTCAAGGCAGAACAAAACACCACTTGCAGATACTTTAGAGGAATTCATCTGTTATTCCCATTTCCTTCCTTTAACAGCAACAGTAGTTTAGTGCATTTTTACTCTCTCAGCAATGACCATCCTCAGCAATGACAATCCTCTGTACTGCCTTCTCAGGAAGGGTTAACTTCTATTTCCTCCACATAAACATCTTTATAAGCCCATCTCCAGCCTTGACAACAGAACTCCTATGCGGAATTTGCCTTACAAGATGAAGATTTTTGTAACAAAAAAGATGTTTTCCACTTTTTTCTCATATCTTCTGAAAGCTGTTGACAGGTATACATGGAACCACCTCATCACTCCTTTCCCTAGGACACTGTTACTATACAGTATTAGACTTTACTGCTTGGACTATTTTGCTTTCAACTCACTGTGCTGCTTCTTCTTTCAGGACTTCGGGCTCCTTTAAACAAGTATGTACAAAGTCATGTAATACTGAAGAGAAGGGCAGTAAATATCTCCTTCACCCTGTGGAAAGCGCTAGTGCACACTGCACTGATATAAAAGGATTTATAGATTTAGCCATGTCCAATACATTTTGGCTGTGACCGTTCTACTCTCTGTTTCTTGGAGAAGAGGCCACTAATGGCATCCCCAATGCTGGCTAGGAAGTGGATTGAGCCTGGACCTTCTTTTTGTCATTCTGAGCACTATCTTCCCCCTTCCCACTATGGCTTGAGTAGGCTGCAAAATCAGGAGTGAAAGTTAGAGGGAATCTTAGTCAGAATTTTCCCGCATCTGTAAATCTGAGGTAACAATCTGCCTGTCCTCATATTGCAGGCTTTTGTAAAAATTAATGATCTAAGTAATTAATTTTTGTGCAATATTCACATACTGACTGCTCTGATGCAGCGATGAATCAATAATTCTGTCCCCAGATCAAGGTCTGACTCACGTTCAGCAAGAGCTGGGGAGGAGGGAAATTCACCTTTTAGCAGTTGTCATACACTCAGTGGGAATGTGTTGTTTTATGCAGAGGTTTGCATTGTACTGATCAGCTGGAATTTGGTCCTGTCAGGCTCCTTGGTTCTGAGTTATTTCTGAGCATCAGAGAATAGTGCAAAAAAAAGGTCACCTGCTGAGTGCGTGGGATCATACAAAATATTGACGAGCTGATCATTAACAGAGCACAGCCTGTGGAGCTTAAACTCCATGGAAATAAGTCTAAAACACATTAGTAAAGATCTGATTATTTGTACAAGGGGAATGAATTAAGGTTTCCCAAATAAAATTAAAATCTGGCATTTCTTAATGCTTGGACGCATGCCCTTGCAAGCTTCTGGTGTTTTCATTTGCATTTTTTAATGTTGATTTCTTTTTTTGTGGAACATGTATTTGAAGAGTTTCCATGAAGCAGTTTTGTCTGACACCATTGCCTCACAAAACGCAAGTTTCCTGATTAACACCTTCCTTGTAAGCTCATCTATTCCCAAATGTGACATCTGGAAGAGACATTATTTCTAGGCTAAGAACCATCAGAGATGCTAGACAGCTGCCCAAGACACAGCACATTAGTGAGGCAATACTAATCATGCCAAAAAAAAAGAAAATTAAAGACACGTGCATTTCTACCAGCATTGTTAAACAGATTTTCTGCCCCATACATCGACTATCATAGCAGATGCTACTCCTTGGAACTATCACCCTCATTTCATCGTGTTCAAAATGAAATATTTCATTTCTGAAGAGCTGATGTGCTTTGATTCAATGTTTTTCAAATTTAAACGTGAGATTTTGTTTTAAAATAGTCTTTTTCATTTGGGTAATCTAAAGTTTTAAAAAAAAGCTCAAAAGAGCTTTAGAGATAAAAAATAGGTTAAATACCTTAAAAATGAAAATTTCCTTTGAAATAAATAAGACATTTCAACTTGATGTTAAATATTGTCAAAATTTCCAGGTTTGTTTGAACTCTTTTTTCTTCCATTTTCATTTTGGCCTTAGTTTGCTCAGCTCTCCACAAACTTTTATTTGAAGGCTACCCCACTTCTGTAAGAGCTAATTCAGGCTCATGCATTTTTTGCTCTTAGTCCCTATCTTTTCTGTGTGAAACTGAATAGTCTGAGTGTAGCAATGCACTGAACTTCAAGTGTTGTTCATGCTAATAACCTCTCATTTTGCAGCCAGGATGTGGTTATAACAGTGAACCACAAAGAGTTCTCCAACACACTTCATAGCTCTCCCTTTTCCTCTCACCTTCTGCCTCAATTTGCAAACAAGATCTCCTAAAATACACCAGGAGACAACTGATTCATATATCTACATCCTAGAGCACCTGGGAAGTGTCTCTGTAGTCCTCATCATAGCCTGAGACTCTTGCTTTGCTCACCCCCTGGGGGAGATTGATGTGGGACTCTGCTGCCATAAGATGTACCCAAAAAGAAGGGATTGTCTGTATTTCTTGACTGGTAGCAACTGCCCAGTTGCCTCTGTGTACTTTTAGTGCTGTGTTACTCATCTGGCTGCTGTGTGTTTGGTGTATGAAATGCTTCATATGCTTCTGAAATAAAGAGCTTCATACAGGGAAAACATTATTCGCCGGGGATTTGCACCAACCTTAGTCACTGGCCCAGTGCATTACAGCCTGTGTCACAGAAACGGCTTTGAAGGAAAAGCAAAACACTCATTAGACAAAATAGCAACACAATGTAAAAGCACATCACACACATGCTTCCAACATGCAAATTTAGCTGTGTTTTTCCTGAAACAAAGCACTGTGCTGCATATAAATGAAGAGGCTGACTGAGCCTCACACAGAGGATTCAGATTAGCCCCTTGTTTAACACAGCAGTGGAAGGCATTCAGATGCGACTGTGTCAAGGCCAAGATAAGAACCTACAGAAGATAAAACAGATCGTGTATTTTACGCAGTACCTTTTGTGTCCAGCAAACAAAAAAGGAAAGCCTGTTCCAGGCAGCTGGGGAGCTGAGTTTTTCAGCACATAAGTCAAATTTGTAGCAGCAGCAGTGCTGAGAAAGCTAAACATAGATGATTGATACCGATTGCATGTAGAGAAAGGCAATGCAAAACACCAGCAAATAAACTTCATTCATATATTGAACGATCTCATGCTTAAAAGAGCCAAAGGAAATCTGCTTTCTTGTGTGCCTGTGACTAGGAAATAGAGCTCCCAGGGTCTGACACTAAATCCAAAAAATCATGAAATCCAGAAAAAAGAAACCCAGATAGACAGGAGACAAACCAATGGAAACAGTAGCCCTATCAATACCTGTCAAATCAAGAAGGATTTCTCTTCATCTCCTTAAACCCTGTAAGGTTTGATTATGATGCTCTGGGTAACACTACACACCATTTATCTGCTGACTTTTTAATCTCCCTTTTCAACTGCTACACCACACTTTATCTTCTGTGGCCACTGGTGATGAATACAGTATCTGGTATCTACCCACTGGACAGTCCCTTCCATTTCAAACATCTAAGGTGAATTGAGCTGTAGAGCAACCTTCATTCTAATTTCTCCAAAGTTGGAGAAATATGGTTGGGCTGGGAAAAGTAAATTGTCCTCTGAAATGATTCAAGTTAGGTTCTGAACCCTGAAAAATTTATTTTACAGAAGCTTGAATAGAAGAGGAGTCTCTACCCTGCCATCTGCTTAGTAGGCAACAGGCAGTGAAACAGCATTTTGTTTAAAAGAATGTTTCAGTAGTGTATAACTCTTTCTTTGCCATAATATCCCATGACAATATTGTTTGAAACTTGACAGAGAAGTTAGAGGCGAGTCCCCAACACTGGCAAATTGTAGCCACAGCCATATCACTTAGAACATTAATTTCAGATGAGGTGGGAAAAGAAAGATAAAACCTCTGTTTCATCATTAAACATTTACAGTCAGGTTCCCTGGAATAAACTGGCTTTTAGTGTTACTTTTGTTTGTTTGGTAAATAATATGCTTCAAAAATTAAGTATATTGTCAACATTTTCTACATTACCTAACCCACATGCCATCTATTACGCATTCTGAAACAAATTTAGACAGATCCATTTGATTACTCTTGCTCTAAATTAAACCATCAGCCTATTTTCCATAACAAGCACTGTCTTATACCATAAATTATGATTAGAATTAATTTGCATTGAAGTTTGCCCATACAACAGAGAAAATTCCCTCTTAAGATGTGTCTTTCCTAGTCAATGCTAAATGACTGAAGACACATCAGAGAAGGGCAATTTATATCACAGACATTTTGCATTGACGTGTAACCTTCTTAAATACATCTCAGTTTTACTTTAATGACTTTGACGATTTCACAGTTTCTTTAAATAGGACTTTTTTCCTCTCTCTCTGCTATGCTCACAAACTGTTTCTGAGTGCTGCCAGAGCTGTCTGGTGACCTCCAGAGCTAGAGAAGTGAGTTTGCCACAAGGTAAACTCACAGTGTAGTTTACAACAAATTTATTTGGCAACAATGGTAGTCCTCAGTGCACCGCTGTCACTTTTCTCTACTGCAGCTTGAAGAACAGAAAATACAGAAGGGTTTTCCAGTGAGCAATTGAGAGAAGAGAGGGTGTGCTGCCTTCACAGAAGCTGGTCTAAGAGGAGCCTTTAGAGGAAAATGAAGGTATGCTGAAGGTGGATCAGGATTGATGTAGAGAGCACTGGACTCTGAAAGGATGGGGATCAAGACTGGAGCTTCAGTAATTTACCTTTGATGAAAGCCCAATGAGTGAATTAGTTTTCAGCAGAGAAGATATCTGGTAGATCAGCTGGGAAGGGGACCCTC